TGCGATCATATTTCATTCGAACCACACCAGAGTTCGTCTGGAAGCGGACCGAGACCCATCTTTTCAGTGGTTTGGTGAGCGGTTTGGTTAGTTTGGTTTAATCTAACCTAAGTGTGAACACACCCTAAAATAACGCAATAAAAATTAACTAAATAACACAACATGTAATACAAAACATACATTACTAATAAGAAAAATATGAAGAAACTAAATATTTTATAAATAATGTAATCATATGTGATGTTTAATTCAGGGACATCTGGGAATTTCTTTTACTGTTTTTTTTTTACCGTAAATTATATGATAATTCATAGTTTTTATTTGCAAAAAAAAACCCCCACAAATTTGTCAGTATTTTACAATAAAATGACAATGTGATGTTAAACCATTTACAGTTTTTCACTGTATATGTTAAGCTAACCAATTAACATGTTTTTTAAGGGTGTCACGATTTCGATATTAAATCGAAATCGATCGAAATTAATTCAATGGTATCGAAATCGAAATAAAAAATGGTATCGTCGATACTGCCACGCCCCATGTCGCGTCCGTGATGGAAAGTTCGGATCGTTTTACAGACTCTATTGTTCAATCTCGTTCATCAAAATTAACTAAACTTTTTTTCTAGTCATTTCAGGGGCTTTAAATGTTATACTATTAACATGCAAATTCCCCGAACATTAAGAAGATGTACATAATGAATGCAGTGAAAAATAATTTACACTACAGGGAACAAATAGCCTAATTACTTTACCTTCCGAGTCTTTTGTTCATTTGTCGCGTGACAGAGGCAATTTGAACAGATCGTTTATGATGAATGACTCATTCATGATGAACGACTCATCACGGTGCGGAAAACAAAACACCTGTTGAAAGGCTGCGACTGCGAGTCCTCTATGACACATCATGGCAACTGCAGATATCGAAGACCCATCAACGGAACTTGAACACCCTCCTGCTTCTCTGAAGTCGCCGGTGTGGAGGTATTTTGGATTTGCAGTGCGGTATGTTGACAACGTTCGCGTTGTCGACAAAAAAGCCACAGTTTGCAAGCTCTGCTATGTGCGTGTACCATATATAAATACGGAGAAAGACATTCAAAGCTTCATTCTAAAACCCCAATAGAAGCCTTAATAAAAATATTGTTACATTTATGATGTTACTTGTTTTTGTTATATTTTAAATTTGGCAATGGTGTAGTGTACATTGTGAACAAATTTATATTGCATAATGCATAAACGTGTAGTCTGAAAATTGCATAGCAATCTGCGCTTTAATTATTATTATTATTTTTAAATTGAGAATCGAATCGAATCGTGACCTGAGAATCGAAAACTTAATCGAATCGAGGATTTGGAGAATCGTGACACCCCTAATGTTTTTACTGTAGCAGTTTTACAGTATTTTTTTTTTAACAGTTTTTTACAGTACAAAATAAATGTTTTTAAAGTACAAAATATTATATATAATCTCTCATTTAATATGTGGTCATAAAAAAAAAAAAAAATTACAAAATACCATTGTAAATAGTTTTGGATGGACTACACGACGCAGGACATTTCTACTTTCCAAAAGTATTTCATGTCAATTACCCCGAACGCACAACAAAATCAATCTAATACCTTCCCTCCCTGTCACAAGTCCAGAACTTTAAGAGAGCAGCAGTATGGAGCTTTTCACCCACACAGCGGCATGTCACGCACATAAAGCCACTGCGGCTTCCACAACTGAGCACTGTTGTGAAAAGGGAATTCATGACTACAAGTGAGAGAGAGTGCGAGAGCAATCGAAAGAAAGGCCTGGGGTGGCTGTCTTTTTTCAGCCATGCGCATCAGTCCGACGCTATTTCATACTGTCGATCGACAGCCATTCCTGCCACCACATTCCAGCCCACACCACCCCATCAGTGTGTATCTTCACAAAGACAGCTATTGTCCCACTGGTGATCGCCCACTGACCCGCTCTATCTGCACTGCACCGCTGGTCATCTCGGAGGGACACGCAGCACAGCCGGAAGGAGTGCAGGGGTGTGAGAGGGATGGTGGGGGACAGAGAGAATGGAAGAAGGGAGAGAGATAAAGGGAATGAACAGTAGATGAGCTTTCTGGGGTATAGCTGCATTTCTCAGATTAGCCCGTTTGGCCACAGGATGAAGAAGAAAAGCTTGTCCCCTTTAAAATACTAGTCATCAAGGATTGGACATACCAAATTGTTTTAGCTTATATTTTAGAGCTAGTCCTTTAAAGAGGATGAATTAGCGACACAACTTCTCAGAGAGGATTTTATCATGTCATGTTTTAGTGTGCATTACTTTCAACAGGACAACACCCTTTAAAGGGATAGTTCACCCAAAAATGAAAATTAAGTCATTAATTACTCACCCTCATGTTGTTCCAACCCCGTAAGACCTTCGTTCATCTTCGGAACACAAATGAAGATATTTTTGATTAAATTTGAGAGCTGGATCACTCCTCCATAGGCTTCTTAAGGGATCGAAACTGGCCGGCCCAAAAGTTATTAAAGACATCGTTAAAATAGTCCGAGTGACTACAGTGGCTCAATCTTAAGTTTATCAAGCGACAAGAATACTTTTTGTGCGCAAAAAAACAAACAAAAATAACAATTTTATTCAACTATTCATTTCCTTCTCTGTGGGCCGTGAGATTTCACGTAGTGATATTGTGCAAAGCTTCTGTGTTGCACGTCACACGTAGGCTCACTATTGGCCGACGCTGGTCATGTGTGTGATGCGTGTGACGTACAACCTAGAAGCTTTGCGTAGTTTCACTACGTGAAATCTCGAGGCCAACAGAGAAGGAAATGAATAGTTTCGTTGAAAAGTCGTTATTTTTGTTTGTTTTTTGCACACAAAAAGTATTCTCGTCGCTTGATAAACTTAAGATTGAGCCACTGTAGTCACTCGGACTATTTTAACGATGTATTTAATAACTTTTGGGCCGGCCAGTTTCGATCCCTTAAGAAGCCTATAGAGGAGTGATCCAGCTCTCAGATTTAATCAAAAATATCTTAATTTGTGTTCCGAAGATGAACGAAAGTCTTACGGGGTTGGAACAACATGAGGGTGAGTAATTACAGACAGAATTTTCATTTTGGGGTGAACTAACCCTTTAAGTCTGTTCTTCAAAAGAACTCAACAATAGAAAACTTTTGTAACATTATTATAAATGTCTTTAGTCTTTACTATTACTTTTGATCAATTTAATGCATCCTTGCTGAAATAAAGTATTAATTTAAAAAACATCTTACTGACCCCAAACTTTTGAATGGTAGAGTATATTATATGGGATAAACAAACTGATCGTGATCGGTCACTCTGAATTTGCAAACTACAAGAGTACTGAACTCCTTCCATCCTCAACCCAAGACTTTACTTACCAATGCATTCTAAAACAAAAGATCATGGAGAAACATGGACGGATGGCATACCTCGCTTGATCCCTGTAAGAGAGCATTTACATAAGCCACTAAGCAGCCACACAACCAGTGGACTTTTGTCCTGCATTGATTGCCCACAGGGTTGGAACCTATCCCAAATGTCTATGACGAGAATCTACAAGTACATGCTCTGGGGCATGGCCTGAGTCAATCAGCAGCCATTATCCCAATCCATTTCTATCATGCTGAGTGCCAAGTGGAGAGCCCACAGCACAGCTGTCTAAGGAGCAAACACACAAAAGCCCAAGCTCACTGAACCAGCATTAACTGTCAGCACTAGATCACATCGAACATGGGGGATATTGCATTTTAGCCACTGCATAGAAACATTGCATGCTAAATGCATCATATTAAGAGCAATTGAGGACAAAGCAAAGTTTGAAAGGGAAGAGAATTTTGGTAACTAGGATCCATCTACATTGCAGTCTGAAACTCATGCCAGGAATTCCTTTAAAAGTACTGAAACAATCACAGTTTCAAACAATAACCAATTATCCACTGAACTCTGTGACTCCTTAAAGATGTGCCTTCAATTGATCAGTCACTGGCATTACTGGAGTTGAAACATGTGGTGTAAATAATGTCAACTCTTTTCTAAAAAAAGTTATGGTGCTAATAGATGTAGAACAAAAAAAAAGATCTCATGCTGGGAATTTCCCTGTGGGTTAAAGGAATAATTCAAAATATTCATATCAAATGAATATTCTGCCATTATTAACTCACCACCCTCATGTCTTTTCAAACTCATATGCTGATATTTGTTTCTGTGGAACATTTTTGAGAATTTCTTAATTAATTATTTTACACTGTTCTTTTTGGCAATTCAGTGATCGCGGCTGTCAAGCTCAAAAAGGACAAAAAATAATAATTATATGATCATAAAATTCTCACCTCTCTCATCACCCATTTGCATAGAAAAGTATACAATTATTTAGCAGCAACATAGAAAAGAAAAATGCATTTTAGTGTTGTTAACAAAAAAATGCTGACTACGCCAAAAATGTTTAATTCTTCAAATTGTAAAAAATAAAATAAATAAATAATAATAATAAACTAATTAAATCATTGTTTGGCTTTGAAGACCTGTCACAATTTCTTTATTATTTGTATTTGTTTATACAAATCTATTGTTTTCTTTGGCATAGTCAACAAGGAGGGCAAGATTAAATAAATAATAAAATAAATAAATTTTTAATTAATCAAATAATACAGAATATTATGTACATAATCACATAATAATCAAATAATTGAAATGTTTTGTTCTTTATTTAGTTGTTATCGTATAGCTTCAGAAGACTTGGAATATACTGCCTGGAGCACCTTTATTGTACATTTATGGTGTTTTTTACAGAAATGGTCAGTATGAACTGTTGTATGACAAGAGTTGGGTAACAGTTCTTCAAAGAAGAAGATAAAGACAGAAGATAATAACAGCATACAGGGTTGGAACGACATGAGGGAGGAGTAAATAATGACATTATTTTAATATTTGTGTGTGAAATATTCATTAAATCATTTGAAATGTTTGAGAAGTGCACAAATACCTGTTTAGAAAGGAAGTAATCCTCAAGGTTGAGTCTCCAAGCCATAATAATATGAATGGTGGACAGCACAGCTCCGGTGATCACAGCCGCCCTCATTCGCACCGGCAGCAGCGTGTAGATGATGTAGATGAAGAACACCGTCCACCATATCCCTTCAGACGCGCTGGGTGGATCCACCATCAACAAACCAAACACCTGCACCACCACTAACACCCCCATGACCAAGTAGCTCACGATCCACATGTAGTCCTGGTGGAAGCCATTTCTGTTACACACCACCATCAAGGCTAAGAAAAGGCCCATGGCAACGGAGAGCACCGAGGCAAACGCCACATCTGGTGGACCTTGGACGCAGTGGAACGCCAGCATAACCCCACAAACCACAACCAGGACCCCCATCAGCAACGTAAGAGAGCTCTGGTTGAGCCTGAAGAAGTACCGTTGATACAGTCGCTCGAGTTTGGCTGACTTGAACTTCTTGGACTGAAAAACCTCAGCCAGACGCAACAAGCAAGTTGAAAAACACCTGTCGGGACCCTTTCGCTCCTCCCCGCCGTCATCTGGGTCCTCACCATCTTTCTTTTTCCTCGTCTCAGCATCTTCAAACGCCAGGTCCACGGCTCTCAGACCCACATCACCCTTCCTGCCATAATGGTCTTCCTGCCAAACGCAGCGTGTGCTGAAGTTGCTGCTGGTGGCGCCCCCTGCTGCACGGGAGTAGTGTTGTGACGGGGGCTCTATGGATGCGGAGTCCCGTAGACAGCTCATGTAGCGTGGGTTGCACAAGGATGAGCCCCTTTTACGCCTCGATTTCCTGCCATTGCGCTCTCCCCACGCCGTCTTATGATTATCCACTCTTGCAGCTTTAAAGCCATTGACCCAAGACATTCTGACAGCACAAAAAAAGGTCCATAAGAAGAACAGAATACTTGCTTAAATAAATAAATATTCTTTTATTTTTAATTAATTTATCATGTAATATCAGAATCAAAGGCTATATTCATGTCAAAAATAATTATACAAATAAAACAGTATACATTTAAACTTATCACAAGACTACGAAATCAACTATGTGAAATCTTATATATTTTCTCAAAATTCTTTAAAAAGAGTATAGAGTTATGTCCCCTTTAACAAAGTCTAAATAAAATAGTCCTATAATTGTTGCCCATTTCACTTTGGATTCTTTTTAAACAATACTGTAGGAATTTCCATGCTTTTCCTACTAAATTCCTACATAACCACAATTTATATTTGTCAACAAAATTTTGCATTTTAAGCATAAGCCTCAAAAAGGGTTTTATGATCATGAGAAGCAAATTCAGTCAACTTTGTTTAAACTTTTAACTGGTGGCTTATTTACACAGTGAACATTGCCAAATAGTTTAGCGAGGTCGACTTACCTGTGTGGCTTCCCCTTTGTGTGGCGGCACTGCTCCCTTTAGCAAGGCACTGCATTTACTCTAGTGTAGAGAGATGATATTACCAGCATTTTTCTGAGCTCAGGGTTTGTCAAGTTCCGGGACACCCACTTAAGCACAGGGTCAACAGAAAATCCTTGTATAGAGCCAGGATCTCTGCATCTCTCGGCCACCTGAGTCTGTTGATTCAACACAAATAGAGCAGATGCAGCATGAGCAGAGCGTCAAAAAACGAATGACAAACCTTTCTGAGATTATCAGTGTCTGATTACCGCTAATAACTTTCGATAATAGCTGCTGCTGAATTTGTTGTTGACATTAATGTGTGTTTATTCATGTTTATGCCTCAATAGGTTAGTAAAGAGTATTGATCTCAAGCTGTAATTAACCGGCTATTTCTCAGAAATGTTAATTCACGTGAAAGCAAATAAAAAGAGCTGAAAATTAAAGAGGAAATAGTACTGTATTGTTAGATTTGACAGATGCTAAAACTGTCCAATCAATCGCACAGTAAATCTATGAGTGCATAAGGGAAAAGGAACATCATAAATATAAACGTTTGAAAGGACTTAATCCGACTGTCCAATTGCAGAGACTTTTAAAGCTAACCACAAAAACAGCGCTTTGTAAGACGGAGATTTTCCCAAAATATACACACACACACAGGCCAGCCGCCAGTTTCAAGCTTGCTGTCTGACAACAAAGGACTTACTGCCCGTGAGCCATCATAAGTCAACGCTCTGTAATTCAGATGAAATTGTCCATGCTTCCCCAAATTTGCTCAGATGAGTCACCACTTTACCTCATGTCAGGGGCATTAGTGACTTCAAAAGATTTTTTGAACAACTGTCTGGAAATTAAATAAGACTAACCAACTCCAATTTAGCTTTGAAATACAGATTTTAACCACAATGACATCAAGTTTTACCATGATCCAATACTAAAATATATATATATATTTTTTAAATACTGCAATTTTTGTAACACTGCAGGATTATTTAAAATGATCTAGTCTAGTAAAAGCAGCCCAAATGTGCTGAAATTCTTGAAATACTTCAGGGAACTACACTAACATTTTCCACTGGTGGCACTTGCGCTACTAACTTTTTCAGTTACTAGCGCAAAACATGATTTGGTCGCACAAATTATTTATATAGTAAGCCGCTCTGGATAATAATCACCAATAGTGAAACTGTATTGCATACAGATGTGCTTTTTATTTTACTCTCCATCTTTTAAAACACATGCCTTCTTGTTTTCTTTAAAAATGGTTGGGATAGATTTATTGCAATAGAAAATACAGTAGCCTACACAATAAAGTGCTAAATTAATTTCTTTTGGATTTCACCATGCTATGGTTGGCACAGATGGGCAGACTTCTGAACTCTTAAGGAAAAGTAAAATAAATATAATATGTCATTGTGAAGCTTCAATGATTCGTGTTTGAATTGTTTTGACTCAGTTACAAATTTGGACAGTCCTGCAATTGAAGGCCCACAGAATTTACAGTAGGGCTGCACGATATTGGTAAAAAAAATGACATTGCGATATTTGATTTTTCTGCGATATATATTGCGATATAAAAACAATTTCACCAGATGACTTGAATAGCTCTACTTGAAAAGAATGAATCATTCTAGAATGACTCTTGAGTTCAGTGTTGGACAGATCAGTTGTTATTTTAACCATTCATTAAAGTGAATCGGTTCAAAGGAGTCAGTTCGCGAATCGGACGTGTCATTAACGGACCACGGCACACGTTGTGTGATTATCCAGGCAGTTTAGGACATCGCACAAGATTTGTCTCAACACAGAAAACATTTCATCACCAGATAGATTTTTTGTTTTGTTTATTGAAAGAGTGGTTTATGCCATCTGAATGTGTGGAAAGCTTTTCAGAGAAGATGAGGCAACGTTATTTTAGCACAATTCACAACCAGTGGTAGTTCAGAAAAAAAAAAACTTCGGTCTTCCGACCTTTTACCATCGTGTATTCTCAAAGATATTCAGTCAACTCAATTCATTATTATGAGCGAGGGAGGGAGAGAGAGCGCGCGCGCGACTGGGGCTTTCACTCTCTCTGCTCGTTCTCTCAGTTAAACAAGCGCGAATCCGCGAAGCCAACTTGATGTGTTGAATGCTCAGAGCGCGTTATAAAACGTATTCTTAAAATACACATTTCTGTTTTAATAAATGCTCATAGTAAATCATAGCATATTGCCTAAAACATTAGGTAGGTACAAAAATAATCAAACGGTGATACATTTGCGACCCATTAAAAATTAGGGTCGCAATGGCATTTCAAAAGGTCGCATATGCGACCATTTTGGTCGCAGTGTAGTTCCCTGGACTTGAAAAATTCTAACCCCACATTCTTTATTTGATACAAAAATACACGTTACAATTCATCTGCCCTTTAATGTATGAGCTTGAAAGGCAAAACGTGTATTAGGCTATTGATCAAAATCAAACACAGCTATCTAAATAAAATTATAGTGGTCTGTGGGAAACTTGGGCTGGTTTTTCCTTCATGGATCCCACTCTAGAGACATTGTGGCTTCACATTTTATTGCAAGCACTAACTTAACTTGGCAGGAAGATTCAACCATTCATTCAGTAGCCTACAGACATGCGGGAAAAAACGTAAGGGATGACAAAAATCTCAAACCTTTAACTTTGCTGCAATAAAACTAAACAATTATCCCGATGACAGGAGAACGATCCTTTACTTTAACACCTCAAACTGTACACACAAAAATGCTCATAGAAAAACAAATAAAAAGTCAGAGCATATTATCCAACTTTCCCAGAGTCTTTGCCTTAAAAGCAAGACCATGAGAGTCTACAGGCACAACACTCAAAAAGACTATACAATATTATGACTTACATATGCAATGGCATGATTTAGACACACCACGTTTAAATGCTGCCACAGTTGTTAAACAAGTAATCACCATAAACAAACTCTGGTTGTCTGGTTTCTAGTGCATTGTTCCATTAGAGCCCGTTTGCAGTAGGGTTAACGTTACAGCTGCTGAATGGAAACTCAACATACCTGATCGTGAAGAGCTTGATCTTGACAGACAAACGCAGCTACATAACCTGCATTTGTGTCCTTACACTACTGTTAGTTCGCTTTCATCAACGACTACAGCAACTGTAACATGTTGCCTGAGGCTCAAACGACGCTGCTGCTGCTGCTGCTAATAAGCCATACAACACACTGCAAAACAAGCACACATTTCAAGAGTAAGCGAAAGCACGTCCGTAGGGCAAGCAGCACTCACCGAAAGCCCCCATTAATCAGCAGCGCAGTGTCCTTCAGTAGCGAAATCACGGAGTGGAACTGTCGCTTGTCCGACAGCGTGAGTGTGCGTGTACGGGGAGTGACTGGGCGATGGTTACATTCTCACGCACGCTTCTGATACAGTCACGTTGGTCTTCATGCTTCTTCACGCGCTGCTACTATCCACTGAAGTCGGGAGTCCCCCTAGAGGTGCAGCCTCTCTCTCTCTCTCTCTCTCTCTCTCTCTCTCTCTCTCTCTCTCTCTCTCTCTCTCTCTCTCTCTCTCTCTCTCTCTGTGTGTGTGTGTGTGTGTGTGTGTGTGTGTGTGAGAGGAGGGTTGGTTTTACCTACATCGTGGGGAGCAAATGTCCCCACATAGACAGTAAAACCAGAAATTTATGACATTGTGGCACACGATGACACGCTAAATATTAAAACATAAATTGCAAGAAGGTTTCGAATTGGGGCAGGAAAATTGTTAGATACAAAATATTAGCTCAGTATAAAGACAATCACATTTAATGGAAAGACCCCAACTATGAAAAACACTGCCGGGGTTACACTTATGGATTGAATTGAGAATGGCTTTTAAATTTAAATACAATTCCTGAATTGATGTAGCAACTACAATACAATCAGGACTTAAGAAATTATAATTAACATTAACTGAAATGCAAAGAAAATAACCTATAAGTTATATATTCATATTAAAGTCTATTCATATTATTTTATTCAAGTGAAAGAACTGTAATTGTTAATTTAAAAAAAACATTCATGTCTTGAAAGTCTTAAAACTGACAGATCATATATATTCCCATATATACTTTCCCCATTATATATATATACTTAATTTCCCCATGTTTTGCTTTAAATCTATGTCAACAGGTTTCTGATTTAGGTTAGGTTTTAGAGGCAGGGCCAGTAAAAAAAAAACTAAAAAAACTTAAAGCTGTGTTTGTGTGTACTAAAGGTGAAAGAACATCATGCATCATACAGGAACATGACAAAGTTTCACACATTCACCCTGCTGACACTAAAGATCTTTAATTGTTCTGTGTTGTGTAAACACACACTACCAGCCACAGGGTCGGACACACTTGACTGACTTTATGGTTCAAACAAACAAAAAAAAGGGGGGAAATAAACAAAATATTGTCTGTTTATGTATTTATTTACAAACATATAATTTTAATTAAAATATTTTAAAATAAATAAACAGACAACAAGTGTTCAACATATGGAAACCCATTCAATACTGTTCAAAAGTTGATGGGGGAAGCCCAGTGTGTGCAGAGCTGTTATCTGTGGCTATATGTTTAAAGAGGCTAAAATATAATAGTTTTGATTTGTTTAACATTTTTCTGCTCGCATAATTTCCACTCTTGTGTTTCTGGTATTATTCTAAAATGTGGAAAATACTAATAATTCAGAATGAGAGGTGTGTCCTATCTGTTGACTTGTAGTGTATGTTTTTCATCAGAAGAATTACATGACAGAACATTACAAACAGGCTTCTGGCTTCATACCTTTTAAAGTGGTTGTTCTGGACAATGTTTTCACTCTGTTTTGCTTATTGGAGTTCCATTGTGAGGCTTGCCTGAGGATTATACTGATAAAAACAATATGTGCTCCTGTCTCTCTCTCTCTCTATGTGTGTGTGTGCGTGTGTGTGTGTGTGTGTGTGTGTTTTCTATCCTGGTGGGGACTTCAACCTGAATGCACACTGACTCATGGGGACTTATGTCACCGTGGGGGCCTAAATTGAGGTCCCCATGAGAAACCAAGCTTATAAATCATACAGAATGAGTTTTTGAAAATGTAAAAATGCAGAAAGATTTCTGTGATGGGTAGGTTTAGGGGTAGGGTTAGGTTAGGGGATAAAATATACAGTTTGTACAGTATAAAAACCATTACGTGTATGGAATGTCCCCATAAAACATGGAAACTTAACGTGTGTGTGTGTGTGTGTGTGTGTGTGTGTGTGTGTGTGTGTGTGTGTGGACAGTGGCCCCACTATGCAAATAAAGCGTTATTTGTTCTTCTTACAGAACACATAACCTTTGAGTGGAGTTTGGTCTCCTTTCGGATCTGTGACTGTTCTCTGTGGCCATGCTTTAGGGTTTGTATGTATACATGTATACTGTGTATATATATTCAGCCTGTAAATAATACAAATATATAATATAATTTCATATAATTTCATATAATATAATATATAAATACAAGTAAAATATTACAAATGACTTTGTGAATGCAATCCCATGATTTTTTTTTTAAATCTCAAATGACTGGAAAAGGCATGGAAATTCACTGGTCAAAAGATAAGGGAACATTGAAATATGTTTTTTTTTTTCAGTATAATTGATGTCATTATAATAAGTCCAAAATATGTCCGATTCGAGACTTAACTGTTTTTCTAATACTTCTAATATAAGCAAACATATGACAAAAATATCCACAAGGCATCCGCCTCTGCATGTTTGAGTGCGCAAACACTGCAAAGATAATGTCACTCTAAATAAACACTTCCTCCCATAACACGAAAGTGTCTACCGCCCAGATCAATAACTGCCCACACAAACACACTCTTTAACTTTCAAATAAACCCTTATCCCACTTTTACAGCAAGAAGAAAATATTTAAGGATATGAACTTTGAGTTATAGTTGGGCTGTGGCTATACCAACTCCTTAAAGGCATAGTTCACGAAAATTAAAATTGTCATAATTTACTCTCCCTCAAGTTGTTTCAACAAACCTGTATGAATTTCTTTCTTCTGCTGAACACAAAAGGTGATTTTTTGAAGAATATGGGTAACCAAACAGTTGACGGACCCCATTGACTTCCATTGTATTTTTAAGTCAATGGGGCCCATCAACTATTTGGTTACCCATATTCTTCCAAATATCTTCTTTTGTGTTCAGCAGAAGAATGAAATTCATACAGGTTTGGAACAATTTGAGGGAGAGTAAATTATGTCAAAATTTTCCTTTTTGAGTGAACTATCCCTTTAACTAGTTTCCCTGCACATACAAAGTCCATACTCTCAGCACACAGCCCTTTACCGTGCTTTATCTTTCTGTTCCTCTGACTCATCCTTCCATCACATTTACCTTCTGCAACTTTCTGTTGTGACTTGGTTCTGTCTGAAGCTTTAATTTCCTGTCTTAAATCTTCAGCAGCCCCAAGCAAAGCATGAAATTGGAGGTCAGAGGAAAAATTACTCGTCTTCCTTCAGGTTCCATCCATGACAAAACATTGCCCTCATCAGCTTTAGAACAGAAGTCTTATTCCAATGTTGTTGTTCTTTGTTTTGTTTTGGGTTTTTTTTGTATGCATTTTGTCTCTGTTGCATCAGTGGTCAAGTTGACATTTAATGGATTTGTCCTACATAACCACACATCATATCTCATACCTCCTCTCATGCATTTACAATGCTATAAAATAGTCAATGTTTGTCATTTAATGGTGATTCAATTTTTCCAATAATTAATGACACACTGTGATTGCATTCTATAACATCTTCATTTAAAAATATTGAATATGTAAGCTGATATATATTGGTATTCTTTTAGGTAAATACAACAAAGGAAATGTAGTTGTAGCAGAAGATTGAAAAAAAACTTTTTTTAAGTAAAAAGATGTCCCAAAGCTGTCCATGTTTCTGCACAAAGAGAGAGAGAGAGGGAAAAAAGACAAAATTCTAAATAAAATAAAAAAACTCAGATGACATGATTATTAAATTTTACAAGAGAAACACTTTTATACTAATGTTAGAACATAATATTTTTATTTTATTTTAGAACTAGTCATTGCAACCAACAGACAAAATATTTTTGTTTGCCTAATACTGCCATCTAGGGTTTGTAAAAAGAATTGCAATAACTTCCTCGTTCAGATGTAAATATGAAAACTATGACACTTGTCTGTTTATATACCAAGTTCAACCTGGGATAGGCCTATATGTTTCATTTTGTTTTCAATTTAGGGTATATGGTACTTCTTGGATCCGTAATCATCATATTTTCACTGCTATGCAGATGATTTTACAGTTAGGCCTATATTTATCACTCCGATCCATTGAAGTGACAAGTTTAGATGTCCTCCAAGCATGCTTAGCAGATATAAAAGATATAAGACATGATTTAAAAACACAGAGAAGCTTCATGCTTTTATTTGATCTTGTTTGGATTATTGCAATGTCCTGTTTTCTACTTTAAATCAACTCACTTTCTCACAGCTTCAAGATAGATTATTGACACGTCACGAACTAGATCTTTTGATCAGCCTAGGCTACTCCAGTTTAAGCGTCATTACATTGGTTACAAATTAATTTTAGGGTAATTTTTAAGATATTATCTTTGACATATAAAGCACTATGGCGACTATTATTTAGCAGATGTTTTAAGACCTTGTGAAACATTTAGATGTCTCAGATCTTCTCCAAGATCTAGATATAAAAGGTGACAGAGCTTTTGCAGTGGAAGCTCCAATGTCTTTTAAGTCAATGTCTTTTAAGTCAACGTTTTTAAGTCTCTTAAAGCTACTTAGTACAAAAATGAGCCTACTTAGTAAAAACGTATTAGTATGGAGTAACTTTTTGTCACGTGTCTGTCCTGTCCTGTGTGACACTTGGGTGTTTGTTATGTTGGGCCATGTGCTCATGTCATTGTCTGATCCCTCCCCCTCGTTACCTGATTATTGTTTGAGTTCAACCACCTGTTTCCCTCTTGATTTGTTCCCTTTATAAGTCTCCCCTTGTATGCAGTCTTTGTCGGATCTTTGCTTTATGTTAACCGTACCGTGACAGAAAGATCCGACCACTAAGGGACTCAGCAGCATGGAGGACGAGGAGTCTTACTGGGCGAATCTGGTTGATCATCACATGGATGACGAGTATTTGGATTGCCCGGACTACTTCATCGCTACGTTTTGCTCAACCAAATTTTCATCGGTCCATGGGGACAATTCGAGACCTGCTTCTCGCCGTCGCGGACGGAGAAGGAGGAAAGGCCCGTCTGCCCAGCAAGAGACTGTTCACGTCCCGTCTGCCCAGCGAGAGACCGTTCACGTCCCGTCTGCCCAGCGAGAGACTGTTCACGTCCCGTCTGCCCAGCGAGAGACTGTTCCCGTCCCGTCTGCCCAGCGAGAGACTGTTCACGTCCCGTCTGCCCAGCGAGAGACTGTTCCCGTCCCGTCTGCCTAGCGAGAGACTGTTCACGTCCCGTCTG